ACATGATTGTCAGACATAAATTTGTCACGATCAAACAAGTTTTGGGACAAGAAAACCCCGACATTTCTTTTCGTAGGGACCTCTTTGGCTCTCGTCTGTCAGCATGGAATGAGTTACTCTCTCATCTGGAGGACATTCAACTGACAAGCGAAATGGACAAGTTTCGATGGAAACTGCATCAAAACAATAGTTTCTCAGTCAAGTCCTTGTACGATGCGATGACTCATATTGATGTTCCCGTTGATAAAAAAAATATGGAAGCTAAAAATTTCTCTAAGAGTGAAGATATTCCTCTGTTTTTTAAGAAGAGGGGTCATCTTAACTAGAGATAATCTGGCACGACGTAACTGGCAAGGTAGCAAGACATGTATCTTTTGCCAACATGACGAGTCTATTAAACACTTATCTTTTGAGTGTAAATTTGCTCGTGCATTATGGGCCATAGTTCAAGTAGCTTCAAATCTATACTCCCCACATAGTGCACGTAACATGTTCGGTAATTGGTTGCGGAAACAATTTTCTGCACATACTCTTGTTGGTGCAGCTGCCTTATGCTGGGCATTGTGTCTTACCAGGAATGATGTGCTTTTTAGTAATAAATGTGGTCCTTCTCCTGTGCAGGCTATTCATGCATGTACGCGATGGCTCCGTACTTGGTCTATCCTGCAGAAGTCGGAGGATAGATACATTTTTATGATGGCGTCTACACGGCTAGAGCGTATGACTAGGGAGGTTTTCTCCCTCCATGGATGGCGGTGTAATCTCCGTATAGGATCTGCCCCACCCTAGGCTGGATTGATTTATTTTTACTGCAAAACTATGTTTATTTTTTGGTCATTTGGACTTGTTGACTGTGTGCATCATGTTATGCAGAGGTCGGGCATTCTTTAGACGCGGTTGTATCACCTTGATAAATCAATTCAATGAAATGTCCTTTATCCAAAAAATGTGTCTCTTAGGCTCTTGGGTGAGATACATCAATGATGATGGTAAACTCTAGAAACAAGTGATTGATGCTAAATATTAGACTTGCTCTCCTAATTTGTTCACTTCATCACTTTCCCTATGCTAACACTTCTCCCTTTTGGAAAGGGATGCTGCATGTTGCCAAAGCTATTGAATTTGGCTATAGGTGGGCAGTGGAGATGGTAACAAAATTAGGTTTTGGGAGGACACATGGTTTGGGCCTTCCCCTCTAGTTGTCCAATTCTGGGACATCTACAATCTTTGTAATGAAAAAACCCATGTCACTTCTAAAGTTTAGGATGGATCCATTTTGAAAATGACTTTGAGAGGATCCCCCCAAATGAAATAGCGCAGGTTGCTAGTAGCATTACTCTGTCGATGAGACTGACTCTTTGATTTCGCAGTATGACAACAAGGGCGAGTACTCTTGTTGGTGCAATATTTTCCCTCCCGTGTTTTGGAGTTTGTTGACAGAAACAGGCGTGGAATGATTTGTTTGCTAGTGCACAACAGAGAGAATAGTTCATGCAGAACTAAAGAGAATGCTGTCTCAGGTGAAAAGTTCGATGAACTTCACTAAAGAATATCTACGATGCAGAGAAGAATGAGCTACATTTGTTGAAGACATGTAGGCGAGAAGGATTTAACCCCTCGAAGGTTTATTGCTGACATAAAGCAATCAGTTCAGAGTTCCGGTTCAGATGAAAATTGACTGTAGCGAATGGAAGTCGAAGGCAAAGTGAAGACGTAGTATTCATTTCATTCTTCTTCTTCTATTTATTTGAGTCATAGGACCTCCGTACTATTAAGAGGGGTATAGGTTCTCGAAGCTTAGATCCGCTGTGATGCTTAGCCCAAACCTATGAAAGATGCAAGAGAAATCTCTTTGAGTTTCGAATGATTACCTGCGAGCAGCAGACGTTGTTCTTTGTGCTGCAGGAGATATCTTTCGGACTGAGGAGTTAGCATTACTTGCTCCACAAGTAATGTTATCGTTGTGCTCAAAAGCTGATCGCTGGATTCGTGTCATTCGGCCATTGACTGCTTTCAATGTCCAATTTGGTCTTTTCCCTTCAGGGAAGGCCGCGGCTATAAATAGCCACCCCGCTCCAACATTGTCCGTTGGCTGCTCCGCTTAAGATTTCTGAGAAAATTGACCGAGCATACCCTCTCCGAGTGATTTGAGTTTAAGATCCACCGAGACAAAAATCAAGAGCCCAAACTTACACATTGGTTGAGCATCACAATAGTTTTGAGTTAGAGTCCTTGTACCTATTACTCTTGAGAGCTGCGCACTCTCTAGACGGATAGGTTTCGGCTCGAGTGATTGAAGAGTTGTTGTCTTCACCGAGCTAGATCTTCAGCAACCAAGAGTGATTGTGGTTCGCGAAGACCGACCGTAGGTTTGGAGATCGCCGACAAGTATCTACCATGAGTGAAATCAACTAGAGTCCGATCAACTCTGAGTTGAAGGAGAATAGGGCGAAGAGAGTTTATCTTCTGTGTTAAATCACAACCCTTCCAACCAGACATAGTCCTTTGGCAGAAGGGCGAACTGGTCCACCAAATCTCTCTACCGCCATCGAGCACCACTAGTTATATCTACTTTGTTGCATTACCTTCAACAGTTTTTCATTCATGCTCTGTGTCGATAGATTACCTGATCAATTATTGTTTGTTGCACATTGTTCGCATTCACCGTATTATTGTTTTCCTTCCATTCTGTTCAGTTCTCATCATTGTGTTATCTTATCCTTTGTGTTGTTGTCCAAGTTACATATCACTCGTTGCATCTATCACACATTTTCTTTCGTAGTGCCAGTCCTGTTTTCTTTCATGTTACTATATCTGTTCGCACTGCATCACTATCATTGTTGTCAGACCTGTGATATCCTATGCTCGAACTATCATCACTGCTTTCCTCGATAGATATGTTCCTATCTAGTGTGCTTGATTGATAACTTGTCTACCGAACCTTATTTCCGCTCCTGTGCTTGGGATCATTTCAAAACATTCTAAAGAATTTCTGAATCTCCCATTCACCCCCCTCTGGTCGATATACTCTCTGTCCCAACAACTATACTAGCTCTGTGTATAATATAATCAATTTTAGAGGGTCTAACCAGTATATATCCCTGTTGTTTAGCAACTATGTGTCGCCCCTAGGATTCATATTTTCTTATGATTGCTTGCAAATAATAAGCTCATGACATGGATAATCTGAAGAAAAGGAACTTTAAAAGTTTAAATTTTGACTATTCTGTATGGAATATGAAACTCTCCAACACTTTTTCTTGACTGTGTGTGGTTGCTAAAGAGCTCTGGCATGTCATAGCTAGGTTTTTTTTATGTTGGTAGTTCTTATGAATCCTTAGCAAAATTATAGATAGCCAGTAAGAATTGTCTTTTAACTAATTTAGTTAGCTTAGCTGAATTTTGGTGTATCTGGAAATATAGAAAATCATGATTTTTGATAATGTTCATTGGATTGACATCAAGCAAGTTTGGTGGAAGACCCTGAAACTATCATTTTTTTTTCAATTCTATGCCTGGAGAGATTGAAGAGTTGTTTGGAGAAGTTCTGCTCACACCTGGTGATGGGTTTCAAATCACCTTTAGCTACACTCCGTGGCTGACTAAAGAACATTTCATACCGTTGGTACAGGTGGGCCCAAGGCTAGAGGCCGAGCTTCCTCTACTAGTGTTTTGTTGCTGCAGGTGCTTCAGATTAGGGACGTTTCCTCCCATTCAGAAGACCACACTTACAAAAACCCTGCTCCACAACCATACATCAACTCTCGAGGTGTTCTGTTGGTCCCTTGCGGCCTTGCGAGGAGTGCAACTCCAACGAGGAAGGCTAAAAATTGACAACAATTTGTAGAAAACACCTTTTCAGTAAGCGTGTTGCCGAAAGCACTAAGTGACCGTTTTGACACAAAAACTGACAGCAAGGCCCATCTACTAGGGTCATATGGCACTGAGTAATGACCAACCGAGATGGCCGTTATTGCTGATGTGCGGGGTTTGTACGTCATAGGAAGAAAAAAAGAAGTAGAAAAAGAATAACCAACCTGGCACCCCAAATATCTCCTCTTTCCTCGGCGTCTCCTCGCCCCTCTACCGCTTCCATACCTGTCTTTCTTTTTTTCAATACGCACGAGTGTGCGTATCATTCATTATAGAGGAAGGGGAGGAAGAATCCCAAGTGATCCACCCGTTTACAATATGTACATGCGGAGATAAACTCCCAACACCACCCTACTCCACCCTACACTTAGACAGATTACTCCTGACCGACCCACATGCTGCCATACGTGTCATTCTCCTCCCTCAGAGGAGCCACACAGCCGTTGGCCTACACGGTGGCTGGCTCTGCCCCCGCTCGCCGGCGGGCATCTTAGGTGAGCTCCGCGTAGTAGCAGGCCCTCTCGCCCACTGTAGAAGCCACCACCATCGTTGCTCAAAGCTTCGTCTGCCATGGCTATCGCTAGTCTCCTTCACCTTCGCCACGGCCACTGATCGCCCCGCGCCTCGCCATTATGTCTAGGAGCTCCGCCTCCTCAAGCTCTCCTTCCCTGCGCGAGGAATCGATATAGCAAACTAGTCACATGAACTTGGAGCATTAGTCAGCCAAGCACAATGGATAGCAAACTAGTCACATGAACTTGACACTCAAACAACTGTTATGGGAAATAAACCTTGGTTTTACAGTCATTCGTAACTCTCAAACAAGTCTTGATGAGTCCATTTCCTTGCGAATTCTTATGTGTCATTTTCTTCTTGCTAGCGCAGATAACGAATGTTATTCAATCCGGTATGACGAATGGACGTACTACAACAGCACGAAACAACAATCTTTTTTCCACAAAAAAAGAAAAGAAAAAGAAAAGAAAAAAGAAACACCGATCTTTCCACAAGCAGCACTGCGGCTCCATATACCCACACACGAACACACAGACACAACACGTACGGGTAAGGAGATGAAAGCCACACCCATGAGGCCACGACGCGAAAGGCGCTACGTGCCTACGTCGTCAGTTTATGAGCGCGTCGGTGTTCTTGGCCGGCTGCTGCACCTTGACGAAGCGTCCCCAGTACCAGTGCCGCGCCCAGACGGCGCCCATGGCTTCGAGGGGCACCCCCTTGGTCTCCGGCAGGAATGCCACCACGAAGGCTGTCATGACGGCGACCCAGGCGGCGTAGTAGATGAACGTGGCGTACTTGAAGCTGCACAGCATGGAGAGGAAGGTCTGCGTGAGCACGAATGTGGCGCCGAGGTTGACGGCCACGCTGATGCCCTGCCCGGCCGACCGGACCTCCACCGGGAATATCTCGCCGGGGATCACCCACGTCAGGGGACCCCACGACCACCCGAACGACGCCGAGAACACGCATGTCAGAGCCAGCACCGCGACGGAGTACTTCCTCGCCATCGTGGACCCGCCGTCACGGCCGATCTGCGACCCCATGATCCACGCAACCGCAACCTAATCAAAGGCAGCAGCAAACGAAGTGTCAGAATCACGACGTGGAAACCGAAAGCATGCATTCCCTTTCTGTGTTTGTTGTACCTGGCACATGATCATGACGAGTCCACCAGCCAAGAACAGCGGCCTGCGACCGTAGCGGTCCACCGTGGCGACGGACACGAGGGCGGAGCCCAGGTTGACGGCGCCGAGAATGACGGCGCCCATCAGCGCGGCGTTGCTCCCGAACCCGGCCGTCTGGAACAGCACCGGCGAGAAAAAGGCGATGACAATGACCCCGGTGAGCTGCTGGAAGAGCGGCACGGTCACGGCCATCACCAGGTGGGGACGGTACTCCCTCCCGAGGATCCTCCGGAACGCGCCCTGCTCGTTGGAGCGCGCCACCTCGACCGCGCGGGCCACGTCCTCCAGCTCGGCGTCCACGTCGGCCTTGGGGCCGCGGACGCGCCGGAGCGCGGCGCGCGCCTGCTCCACCCGCCCGCGCACGATGAGGCTGCTGGGAGTGTCCGGGATGAGCAGGGCGCCCACGAGGATGACCGACGCCGGCACCGCCGCCAGGCCGAGGGAGAGCCGCCAGCCCCACCGCGGGATGCGCGCGGCGCCGTAGTTTGTCAGGTTGGCCGCGAGGTTGCCGATGCCGAGGAAGAGCTGGAACCCCGTCGTGAAGGCGCCCCTCCACTTGGCCGGCGCCGTCTCCGCCAGGTACACCGGCGCCGCCTGTCATCAGTTGCCACGATCACGTCACATGGTGCATTTGTTCGTACATCGTATTCTACACGTGAAGCGTTAGTTATTAATCAAGGAGACAAGGACGCAAGCAAGAGGCGATCAGTACGTGCGGATTAGTCAGTGTGTCCTAATAGTAATCGACTTCGGATCGACCATTATATTTGTGCGACATGTGCGATGTACTCCCTCCGTCCGGAAATATTTGTCATCAAAATGGATAAACATGTGTGTATCTAGACGTATTTTAGTTCTAGATACATCTATTCTTATCCATTTTAATGACAAGTATTTTCGGACAGAGGTAGTAGGGTGCAACATACCAAGGTCTCGGACTGCCAGTGAGATAGATTGCTCTCTTGCATCGTGTCCATCCAAAAGTGATCCAACGCGCACACGAGCCGCCGCACGGGGTGATGAGGGTGCACAACTACTTTTCGACCAAGGGCCATATCATTAAATAACCAAGTGGCAGCCCAGGCATGTACCATAGGCGTAATTTTCATAAATGTGGAGGTGTTTTTCGCAAAAACTCCGGGCCAAACGGCTGTGCTATGAAGCTGCCAGCGTGACGCCAATCGTAAGCTTCTGATTGGTTGTGGACTAAATCATCCCATGCATTTCAAGTTTATGGATGAGTTGATCATCTTTTGTAATTTTGTGGACTAAACCATCACATCCAACACAAGTTTGTGGGTCTCTAGTGCTCTTGCCTTGTGATGTAGGCATGGACAAGTAGCGCTGCACGGACGACAGAAACATAGGAGGAGCTATCACCAACCTACCACAACTCCCGCGCAACGAAGGAAAGTGAGATGCTTGACTCACCCATGCGTGCCTGCACGAGCAGCATGTTGCAGCTAACCACTGAAAAAAGATGAAACGCGACATCCTATCCACTATTCAATTTGAGTAACACGAGAGCGATGGGTTGAGTCAAAACTAGCCACTCGCCCTAGCTAACCAGGGGGGGCAGCGGACAAACGAAGCAAGGGCCCGAGCCAGCTATCACCTTTCTACTCCCTCCGTTCCTAAATATTTGTCTTTCTAGAGATTTCAACAAGTGACTACATACGAAATAAAATGACTGAATCTACATTCTAAAATATGTCTACATACATCCGTATGTTGTAGTCCATTTGAATGTCTAGAAAGACAAATATTTAGGAACGGAGGGAGTAATCTGCATGACATGTGAACGGCTGTAGGACTTGACGGTATACGTGGTTTCTCCTTGGTGCATCCGAAATGTTGACCTCTTAATTAAAGTGGTTTATAACTTTAAATGCCTGCATAGCTACAGCACAATCATCCAGAAAATTCCTTGAATTTCAACGTTTATTCATTCATCTTTAAATGTTTCGTCTTAGAATGGGTTGTGTTTTAATCATTCATCTCGGCAAGGTCCGAGTTCAACACAAAGAATACAATCCAGCGGAAGTAGATATTTTGCTATACAATCTTGGTTAAAACTTGTAAAGTTTGATTTTTGGGAAAACCCTACATGCACTAAATTATGGAATTGATGAGTATAGACTATGGAAGGTAAACTTATGAATTTGCTGAACCGTGCAAACTTGGTTGGTGAGACTTGTTTCAGCAATATAAAAGAGTGAGTTGCGGAGATATAAATGGATATAGATAGATACAGATATAGATATGAAAGTATAGATATAGATATAGATGATGTGTGGAATCATGCCCTCCCACCAAGATAATTCCCACCAAGCCATAGCCACCCCACCCCTCTCTTTTTGAGGGACCATACTCAACCCCTTTATGAAACTTATTTTTTATGCAGTTGCGGATCCTTGTTTAGGTAGGCAATATGTTTTGAATTTCAATTTCAGAAACTATGTTTACTGCTGAAATTGTCGAAATATTTTGACTGAAATATTGTTGAAATTACTGAAATTTCAGTGAAATTACATTGAAAGTGAGGGCAATACACGGAGAACTATTATTGCCTCATTGGGAGCATTATCTGATAGGTGGGTGAGTAGCTTTATTTACCACTCTATGACTATGTAGATCATTCGCCACACATCAAAATCAGGAGCCACAGCAATATATAGAGATGTATCACTTCAGTTGCCTAGAATGTTGTCACATTCAGGTTTTTCAAGTCCACGTTTTCTTTCAGTTTATTAGGTTGCTCACTCGCCACACATCAAAATAAGTTTACTAAAGATGCGACAATTAATTTGGATCAGAGGGAGTAGAAACATACTCCCTCCGTCTGGAAATACTTGTCGGAGGAATGGATGTATCTAGACGTATTTTAGTTCTAGATACATTCATTTTTATGCATTTCTCTGACAAGTATTTCCGGACGGAGGGAGTACTACACACACCGAGTTAGCCACCTAATAAATTGCCGCTTGTCGAAAAAAAAACATTTAAATTAGACCAAATCTTCAATAGAGTAAACAATCTGGTCAAGTTTATACAGTTTAAAGGGCCAAACAGATTGTGAAATTCTTGAAATTCAGTAACCAGCTCGTTTGTTTCTACTCCTACTTATACAGTTTCATAAATTCAGTACTGGATCCAGATACAGATCAGCTGTTATGAATACCAAATGTACCTGGTTGGTGAAGCCGATGCCGAAGCCGAGCAGCATGCGGCCGACGATGAGCATGGCAATGTTCACCGCTGCAGCGTTCACGGCGGCGCCGACGAAGAAGAACACGCCGCCAGCTAGCATGACTGCCTGTCTCCCGACCGCCCTGGTGACCCGGCCAGCCGCGAGGGACGCGACCAGCCCCGCCAGGTACAGCGACGACGTGAACGCCGTGAGCACGTGGCTGTCGTAGACGCAGTACTGGTCCCGCCGCGCCGCAGCCATCCGTCGGAGCACGCCCGGGAAGAATTCCTCCAGGAATGACCCCATCGCCGTCACGCCACCTGATCGACCAAACATTATCACCGATGTACGTACATGCATAGAGATTAGAGAAAGACACATCTCGGCAGAATTGCATACACTTGTGAGGCCGGTACCTGAGATGCCGATGTCGTAGCCGAAGATGAGGCCACCGGAGGCTGCCATGAGGCAGGTGACCACGACGGAGAAGGTTATGCCGCCGCCGTAGTCGCCCGACGGGGCATCGGCCACTGCGAACCCTCCACCAGCCATCGCAGGCCTGCCACCGGGTTAGCCTCACTTGCACGCACGCGCGGACTTGACCACTAGCTATAACAACTACACAGGGTACCGCGTGGTAGCTAAGCCCGATCAGTGTGGTATTGTATAGGGGTGGTGACCGGTGAGTGGCCGGGGTGTGTCCCTCAGAGCATTTGGTTAGGTAGATGCGCGCTCGTAGGCTTGCAGACGATTGGTTCATCATAGGATGCACTATGTAAGCATGCGGGTCGAAGTAGTATGTATAGCCCCGACCGGACGTCACATAGTTTCCTCAAAGTTACATTTGAATTATATTTCGCCGACAAAGATATGGAGGAAAGGGGTGGCTCATAGATTTTTCTCAATAGTGGGTGGATTTTATTGGCTCAAAAGTAAGCATCTAGAGGATACAAACACAAAGACCGCACACCCGGCCTGTGCATAGTTAGAATGCACACAACCAACACCAACACACACACACACATAAAACACGTAGGCAAATAACAAAGTCATATAAACCAAAGGTATGCGTAGGTGAGATAATGAAAAATCTAAAGCGATCAGATCCGCCGTTGATAACACAATACCCTACTTCCCTTTCTTGACTGATATGAAAATAATGTATTACAAGTGATGGGAGGTGTTATGATAAGGTGCTCATGGTGTCTATATGAGGTGATCGGGGTGTTGGCCTAAGAGCTCGGGCATGGCCTCTCCTTCTTCCTACCCTAATTTACACTCTGGACTGTCGTGTTGCTTGTGATGTGTGTAGTGGTGGCTAGCTATTGCCTTGATTGAGCTAGTCTATAAATGGTCATGGTCCTGCCCTTATATAGGTCTGGGAGGTATCACAAATTTAGTATGTGCGAACGTGTACAAAAGAAAGTGGGTGCCCGCCTTGCGTTGTTGCAACTTGCCACCAGTCCAGTCTTTACTGTAATGAAGATGATACATTGGTATTTGCAGTTAGCCAGGTACTCGAATGCGCCTGCTGAATATCCTTTCTCGTGGAATATCCTTTCTCGTGGGTCCCTCCTGTCATCACCCGTCTTGATGTGACACGAGGCATCGCTTCTTGTTAATAAAAAAGGTGGCTCAATCTTGTCGCCCTCACCTGGCTGATAAGGTCCGCACCTTATCATACCGAGGACGCTCGCACTGTCTATATATCATGATGATGGCGTTCTACCATACATAGGCCTATGATAGGCTATGCACCATAGCCTGTATCGGCATTAAAAGCACGGTCAAGGACATGCTCTCGGCTCCTAAGAGAGCTGCCTACATGCGAGGTACATGTGCTAGGGAGGCCAGTGCTCATGACACCGAGCACCGTCCCTAGACATCACTACTGACGTTTTTGGATCTGGCCTGATTAATGAAGATTTTACTAAGCCGTAAATCATCATAAAGATCTGTGTGCCGACGCGTAAGTTGCTCCTTCTGGATGTTGTAATGTTATCCAAGTCGAGAAATTTCTGCGTGGCTTTGTTCCATATTTTCGTGGCTTTTTGGGTTGACCCATCTGTCGGTATGCTCGGGGTACTATGGTCTTTTATATGACGTTAGTAGCCCCCCGGTCGTGATCGGATTCGCGGTGCGAGGCTAGTTTTTCCACTGGGGTTGGGCTCATTGCTTGGATGGGCTGACCAGAAAGCGGGTTTTCACCCATTTCCCCTGCTCACATGGGCTAGTTCATCTGCCAACAAGTTTCGACGTCCGTTGTGATTACTGAGGCGCTGTCTCAAGGCTTCGCATGGGCGACGCGTGGAGACACCCCATAGGTGTGTGAAACATCTATAATGTGTTGCCTACATCATGGACAACTTTGTGCGTGACGTTGGAATGCTATTTTCACAAGGTTCTTCAAAAATATCGTACACAAACACACACACACAGAGTACTGCAGGATGCTGCTAACGCGACATTACGATTAGAGACCCTTTGAAGAAACTGTGTGCGATGCATTAATCGCAAAAGGGAATGTAAAAAACCCGTCAAAAAAGATGCAAAACGTTTGCGATGGTGGAGACATCAAACATGGTTCAGATTTTAGTTACATGTGTGATGCGGGGCATACGGTTGATCTAGAAGAACTGTTTGCGATGAGGCAGAACAACAGAAACGGGCAGCCATATCAATGTGTGTGCGATATACGGCATACAGTTCGCTCCGATGAACTGTGTGCTATTAGGGAATGCAACAGAAATGGTCAGCCAGATCAAGGTGTGTGTGATATACGACATACGGTTCACTCGGACAAACTATTTTCGATTAGGAAAGAGAACAGAAACGGTTCAACTTAACAAGATGTGTGTGATATGTGGCATACAATTCACATAGATGAACTGTTTGCGATGAGCCCAAAGAACACAAATGATTCGTGTAAACAAGATGTGTGTGATACGCAACAAACAACCCACTCAGATGAACTGTTTGCGATGAGAAATTATAACACAGACAATTACTATAGTTAGTTCGTGTGCGATTCTGTTCGTACAAAAACTTTGAAAAATGCAAACTAGCTGCTTGCAGTGGCTAGGAGTATCGCACACGATGCGTCTGCAGGTACTCATATGCGATGATTAGTAAGTTACACATACGTTTCCTTATGTTAACACGTGTGTGATAAATAACACGTGGCACCATATACGGTATTCTGGTTGTGTGTGTGCTCCACTTAGTCTTCCCACGCTCTAGCGAATGCTTCCCGTGCTCCACATGGGTGAAATGTAAAATCCACGCCTCTTCCCTCATGTTTTTCCTGCCGCCAGCTAATGACTTGCTGCATATAACCCAGGAGACAACGCACCGTCGCGACACTCTGCGCAGATCTAGTCCTCACCCATCTACCATTAGTTATTTCAAGCATGCCAGGAAACAACCAAAGCTTCGACGTCTGAAGGAAATATGCCCTAGAAGCAATAATAAAGTTATTATTTATTTTCTTATATCATGATAAATGTTTATTATTCATGCTAAAATTGTATTAATCGGAAACATAATACATGTGTGAATACATAGACAAACATAGTGTCACTAGTATGCCTCTACTTGACTAGCTCGTTGATCAAAGATGGTTGCGTTTCCTAACCATAGACATGAGTTGTCATTTGATTAATGGGATCACATCATTAGGAGAATGATGTGATTGACTTGACCCATCCCGTTAGCTCAACACTTGATCGTTTAGTATATTGCTATTGCTTTCTTCATGACTTATACATGTTCCTACAACTATGAGATTACGCAACTCCCGTTTACCGGAGGAACACTTTGTGTGCTACCAAACGTCACAACGTAACTGGGTGATTATAAAGGAGCTCTACAGGTGTCTCCGAAGGTACATGTTGAGTTGGCGTATTTCGAGATTAGGATTTGTCACTCCGATTGTTGGAGAGGTATCTCTGGGCCCTCTCGGTAATGTACATCACTATAAGCCTTGCAAGCAATGTAGTTAACGAGTTAGTTGCGGGATGATGCATTACATAGCGAGTAAAGAGTCGGACCGGTAACGAGATTGAACTAGGTATTGAGATACCGACGATCGAATCTCGGGCAAGTAACATACCGATGACAAAGGGAACAACGTATGTTGTTATGCGGTTTGACCGATAAAGATCTTCATAGAATATGTAGGAGCCAATATGAGCATCCAGGTTCCGCTATTGGTTATTGACCAGAGACGTGTCTCGGTCATGACTACATAGTTCTCAAACCCGTAGGGTCCGTACACTTAAAGTTCGGTGACGATCTGTATTATGAGTTTTTGTGTTTTGATGTACCGAAGATAGTTCGGAGTCCTGGATATGATCAAGGACATGACGAGGAGTCTCAAAAATGGTCGAGACGTAAAGATCGATATATTGGATGACTATGTTCGGACACCGGAAGTGTTTCGGGGAGTTTCAGATGATATCAGAGTACCGGGGGGTTACCGGAACCCCCCAGGGGGTTATTGGGCCTCATGGGCCCATGAGGACGAAGAGGAGAGGCGGCCAGCTACGGGTGCACGGCCCCCCTAGACCAAACCGAATTGAACTAGGGGGCCGCCCCCCCCTTTCCTTCATCTTCTCCTCCCCATCCTTCCCCTCTCCTACTTGGACTAGGAAAGGAGGGACCCTACTCCCGGTGGGAGTAGGACTCCTCCCCGGCGCGCCCGCCCCTGGGCGGCCGCCCCCTCCCCCTTGGTCCTTTATATACAGGGGCAGGGGGCACCTTTAGACACAACAATTGATCTCTCGATCTCTTAGCCGTGTGCGGTGCCCCCCTCCACCATATTCCACCTCGGTAATATCGTAGCGGTGCTTAGGCGAAGCCCTGCGTCTGTAGCATCATCGACACCGTCATCACGCCGTCGTGCTGGCGGAACTCTCCCACAAAGCTCTGCTGGATCGGAGTTCGTGGGACGTCATCGAGCTGAACGTGTGCTGAACTCGGAGGTGCCGTACGTTCGGTACTTGATCGGTCGGATCGTGAAGACGTACGACTACATCAACTGCGTTGTGCTAACGCTTCCGCTTTCGGTCTATGAGGGTACATGGACAATACTCTCCCCTCTCGTTGCTATGCATCACCATGATTTTGCGTGTGCGTAGGATTTTTTTGAAATTACTACGTTCCCTAACAGTGGTATTCAAGCCTGGTTTTATGCGTAGATGTTATATGCACGAGTAGAACACAAGTGAGTTGTGGGCGATACAAGTCATACTGCTTACCAGCATGTCATACTTTGGTTCGGCGGTATTGTTGGATGAAGCGGCCTGGACCGACATTACGTGTACGCTTACGCGAGACTGGTTCTACCGACATGCTTTGCACATAGGTGGCTGGCGGGTGTCAGTTTCTCCAACTTTAGTTGAACCGAGTGTGGTTACGCCTGGTCCTTGAGAAGGTTAAGACATCACTAACTTGACGAACTATCGCTGTGGGTTTGATGCGTAGGTAAGAACGGTTCTTGCTCAGCCCGTAGAAGCCACGTAAAACTTGCAACAACAAAGTAGAGGATGTCT